CTCCAGATAACCTCAGTTCGTTTTCCTGCGTGCTTGGCAACCCCTGTTTCCTGTTCCCAGTCACACAACCGGGCTGTGTTCCCTAGTGTTCCTTGCAGTCACCCAGCGGTAGTGTAGGTCGGGCCAAGGGACAATGAGTGGAAGGGAGGTGCATCATGACCATTAGGCGTCAGGAAGCCACCAGAAGCCCCTGCCATAGGCTCCCCCATGCTCTCTTCCAGTTCCAAGTGGCTGGAATGGAGACCACGCTCAGGACAGGGGCCACATATGGAAGAGGGAAGAGCCACATGCTAGAAGAAGCTGGGGACCTGGAATCACTGTGGAAGGAGAGGTGTCTGGACAGGGGCACTCACCCTGTACTTTTATGACAGCAACAAATAAATGTGTGTGCATGCGTGTGGGTGGGTGTGTGTGCGCGTGTGAGTGTGTGAGTATGTGCGTGTGTGTGTAGCCACTGAGATAGCTGTTTCATTTTGCTTTACTTTAATAATACTCTCTACTCATATTTACTTTGCAGCCCACATTGCTTTCTTGAGATATATGATCTGATATTATAATGGTGCATTCGTTTGATTGTTTGTCTAGTTGGTTATTTTCTGCTTGCCCTCAATAGAACAGGTGTCTAGAGCACAAGGACTGGTCTTTCTGTTCCTTACTGCACCACAGGGCATAAAAGAGTACCTGGCACATAGTAGGTGTTTATTAAACACAAGCCCTTTTTCTCTCATACTTGTGAGACCACAACAGTTGGAAGCCAAATCCTTGTGTGCTGACGCAAGGAATGATGCTATGGAGCACCCATAGGCAGGCCGGGGGTGGGGCAGGAGCATCTGTAGACCCTTAGGGAGCTCCATGGACCCCATTTTCTCATCCTTAGCAAAAATGCCCTCAGAGGCCCAGCAGCCGACCTGTGCCCAGTCCTGGTGATATGGGTGGTTCCTTCCATGATATTTTATTGCTTACTTTTATTTCTCACACAGAGATTACTCTGTGGATTACTTCGCTTTTTAAAAAAGTTCGAGTCCAATGTAATTTGTTCAATGTATTAAAATCCCAATTTCAAAAGTCCAGTGCTTCCTTGAGACTTGAAATTTGGCGGATAAACCTTGTTCTACCTGTAACAGGCAAATGTTAATAACGTCCTTGATGAGGCCTGTGAATAATTCTTGGTCCATCACCGATTTAGTTCATTTAATAGTTTTGAACATTTTGATTGCACTTCCAAAATGAATATGTTTAAATTGATGTTTTAGTACTTCAGCTTTCTACCTTTAGCAAAGCCTTCTGTGTATAAACTAGTTTTTCAAAATCTAAGAATTTAAACATATGACTGTGATGAACTTAGGGGAGGTCTCTTAAATGTTCCAAAACTGTACACACTAACTCGTTCAATTCCTCGATTTCACACTTTCAATTGGATTATCAGGGTGTCACTGACATAGGCCAAATTCTCCACTCCTCAAAATACCAAATTGGCATAGATTGCTTTATGCTAAAATATTCATACTATGAAATTCAATTTCTCGATCCTGTCTAGACTTT